GCTGTGCAATACACCCTCTCACTGTGGCTGCCTGCTACTGATATTCTGTAACTCTATCATCATTACCTAGCCTCATAACCTTACACTTCTCAGTATTAAACTGCATCTTTCTCTCTCCTTGAATACCATTCACATTTTATCAACTGTGCCTATTCTAAAACTAGACGATATTTATTTCATCTCAAACCTGTTTCCAACACTAGTATCACTGTGCTCTGCCTTCCCTTCATATCTGAACTCAAAACTCTTACTAATATCCTTCGTCCTCTTGACATAAAGTTCGCCTTTCGACTAACACTCTTCGTAGTAGTCTGGTTCACACTGCTCCTCCTGCTTCTAATGCTGATGGTGTCTACTCTGTTTCCTGTTCGTCTTGTCCTCTCCAATACTTTGGTGAAACTGGCCGTACACTGAATGACAGACGGAACACAAAAGAAGTGATAAGTCTGCAGACACATACAATACTCACTTCTGTCATATTAGGGACTTCTGTCACCTTCCCAACAAGAACCTTAGTCCTGTCTATGTTGCTGTTGACGCTTCCCTTTCACAATACTTAGATGCTTTAACCTTTCTAACAAACGTGACCTGACATAAGCCTATAAATCCTATTTCTTTTTCTTTTTTCTTCCTCCACTTATTCTTATGTTTCCTTTCTTATGCCCATTATTACCCCCTTCGTATACCTAATTATTACCCCCTCTTCTTACACCCCCATTATCACACCCATTCCAACAATAGACGTTAAGGATATTGGCCGATAGTTCGACGCAAGTAATCAATCACTTTTCTTGAAAATTGTTACATTAACAGCTCCTCTTTGCATTCTTCAAGCACCCTGGCAAACATTTTGTCCTGCTTTGGGGATTTGTTTGACTTAAATTTTTCTATTTGTTTAATAAGATCCTCCCTGGTAACTACTGAACTAGTCAGCCTGTCCTCCTCACCACCATCATAGACTTGTTCGGCTTAAACCTCAATTTTGGGTTCTTTTTTTTTAGTAAATCCAAAGATTAAATATTTATTTCAAATAATTCTCCTCTCTTTGTCATTATCAGTTAACTGACATGTGTCATTTTTTTATGGACCTGTCCATTCCCTAATCTTTGATTGGTATAGCTGAAAAATCCTTTTAGGATTTGTGCTTGATTGTGCTTGTTTGTGCTTGTTTGTCCTGGTATACCACCTGGTATACCAACTGGTATACCAACTGGTATACCAACTTCACAGCTTTTTGCTCTCCTTATTTCTTTGTTAACATTTCTAACCATTTTTTTTCTAGATTAGCTTCCCCATTCTTAATACTAGTGTACAGAGCATATTTTTAACTTTGTGGTTCTTGAGGCCTATAGTTATCCAGTTGGATAATTATTGTTCAATCAAATCAATTTAGATCAACCATTCATGCACTGGACCAACCATTCATTCATTGGACCAAACATTCAGTAGCTGGACCAACCATTCAGTAACTGGACCAACCATTCAGTAACTGGACCAACCATTCATGCACTGGACCAACCATTCATGCACTGGACCAACCATTCAGTAACTGGACCAACCATTCATGCACTGGACCAACCATTCATGCACTGGACCAACCATTCATGCACTGGACCAACCATTCAGTAACTGGACCAAACATTCAGTAACTGGACCAACCATTCAGTAACTGGACCAACCATTCATGCACTGGACCAACCATTCAGTAACTGGACCAACCATTCAGTAACTGGACCAACCATTCAGTAACTGGACCAACCATTCATGCACTGGACCAACCATTCATGCACTGGACCAACCATTCATGCACTGGATCAACCATTCAGTAACTGGACCAACCATTCATGGGGTTAAGTAACTATTTCCTGAGCGACACCAGGCGTTGAGTTAATGTATCCCTAAATCCATGATTGGTTAAGTAAATATTTCCTGAGCGACACAAGGAGCGCATGTGCCAAGGTGCAGGAATGTTGGGTCATATGGTTGACCGTCCGGACGACCATGACCTGCATATTGACCCGAAGCTTTTGGGCACTGAGGATGCAACACGCGGGGGTGAGGAGTAGGTCAGAGTTAAGGGAAGGGGGATAGGTGGGGGGGGGAGGGGGTGCTTAACAAGGAGAGAGAGAAGTACAAGGAACACAGGTAGTGGTACAAGGTACACAGGTAGTGGTACAAGGAACACAGGTAGTGGTACAAGGAACACAGGTAGTGGTACAAGGAACACAGGTAGTGGTACAGGGAACACAGGTAGTGGTACAAGGAACACAGGTAGTGGTACAAGGAACACAGGTAGTGGTACAAGGAACACAATGGTACAAGGAACACAGGTAGTGGTACAAGGAACACAGGTAGTGGTACAAGGAACACAGGTAGTGGTACAAGGAACACAGGTAGTGGTACAAGGAACACAGGTAGTGGTACAAGGAACACAGGTAGTGGTACAAGGAACACAGTGGTACAAGGAACACAGGTAGTGGTACAAGGAACACAGGTAGTGGTACAAGGAACACAGGTAGTGGTACAAGGAACACAGGTAGTGGTACAAGGAACACAGGTAGTGGTACAAGGAACACAGGTAGTGGTACAAGGAACACAGGTAGTGGTACAAGGAACACAGGTAGTGGTACAAGGAACACAGGTAGTGGTACAAGGAACACAGGTAGTGGTACAAGGAACACAGGTAGTGGTACAAGGAACAAAGGTAGTGGTACAAGGAACACAGGTAGTGGTACAAGGAACACAGGTAGTGGTACAAGGAACACAGGTAGTGGTACAAGGAACACAGGTAGTGGTACAAGGAACACAGGTAGTGGTACAAGGAACACAGGTAGTGGTACAAGGAACACAGGTAGTGGTACAAGGAACACAGGTAGTGGTACAAGGAACACAGGTAGTGGTACAAGGAACACAGTGGTACAAGGAACACAGTGGTACAAGGAACACAGGTAGTGGTACAAGGAACACAGGTAGTGGTACAGGGAACACAGGTAGTGGTACAAGGAACACAGGTAGTGGTACAAGGAACACAGGTAGTGGTACAAGGAACACAGGTAGTGGTACAAGGAACACAGGTAGTGGTACAAGGAACACAGGTAGTAGTACAAGGAACACAGGTAGTGGTACAAGGAACACAGGTAGTAGTACAAGGAACACAGGTAGTGGTACAAGGAACACAGGTAGTGGTACAAGGAACACAGGTAGTGGTACAAGGCTGTGACAGGCTCCCTCAGGGACTTGACCTGTGTCAGTCTCCCTCAGGGACGTGACGTGTGATTGGCTCCTTCAGGGATGTGACGTGTGTGGCTCCCTCAGGGACGTGTCAGTCTCCCTCAGGGACGTGACGTGTGATTGGCTCCTTCAGGGATGTGACGTGTCTGGCTCCCTCAGGGACGTGTCAGTCTCCCTCAGGGACGTGAGGGACACGTGATAACGGTCCATTTGCAAGTGCATTACAATATTTAAATCATTTTAAAATATTCTTATCTTAGCCCAGGATACAACAATAATTGAATAATTCAAGTAATGAAGAATAGGGAAGACAAAGTAACATTGCCAGTTAAAAACGCTGTTGGAAAAGTTTAACGAAGTTATGAGGCACTTCATGAAAGTTTAGAGTTGCTGAGGAAACTTTAGCATAGACTAAACCTCAGAAATCTAATTGGCCAATTTGTCGACGACCAATTACGCTAACTCACATAGATCTATGCTTGTAACAATCACGCTGGGATAAATTTCAGGTACTCAGGTACGGCAAAAATGCGGACCTGAAACATAATACAGTGTACAAAACACAATCGAATCTGGCCATAGTAGGTAAATAGCATATGAAGGATTTGGGAATAATGATGTCTGACGACCTAACGTTTAGGGAACATAACCAAGCAAATATTGCGTCAGCCAAAAAAATGATAGGATGGATTACGAGAACTTTCAAATCCAGGCATCCCATCACAATGGTTGTACTCTTCAAGTCACTTGTGTTGTCCGGTCTTGAGTACTGCTCAGTACTCACTTCCCCCTTCAGAGCAGGAGAGATTGCTGATATAGAGGGAATACAGAGAACATATACGGCACGCATAGACGAGATAAAAAACCTAAATTATGTACTCACTAGAAAGGAGACGAGAGAGATACCAAATAATATACACATGGAAAATACTGAGGGCCAGGTCCCTAATTTCCCACACAGTAAAATAACAACGTACTGGAGTGAACGATATGGAAGAAAATGCAGAATAGAACCAGTGAAGAGCAGAGGTGCCATAGGCACAATCAGAGAACACTGTATAAACATCAGTGGTCCGCTGTTGTTCAACGTCCTCCTAGCGACTATAAGAAATATTGCCGGAACAACCGTGGACATCTTCAAGAGAAAAGTGGACTGTTTTCTAAGAGAAGTTCCGGATCAGCCGGGCTGTGGTGGGTATGTGGGCCTGCGGGCCGCTCCAAGCAACAGCCTGGTGGACCAAACTCTCACAAGTCGAGCCTGGCCTCGGGCCGGGCTTGGGAAGTAGAAGAACTCCCAGAACCCCATCAAGCAGGTATCAAGCGGGTCTAAATGGATTGAGCACCACACCAATAAAGAACCCCGCCTCTCAACCTGTATTTACACTCGTCCTTGCTGACTCTAAACTATATATTCAAGAGAGAGTTGACGAGGAAAATGGAAGCATACAACAGCAGGGAAAGTAACTAGTTACGTGTGAGTTGATGATGGAGAATGCAAGATAACGAGGACGAGGGTGTAGTTAAGGCAATGGAATTGATAACACGAAATGATGGAGCCAATGAACTCTGTAGGTCTTCAGAGACTGAGAACATTACCACCAGACGAGGAAGAGACCAGAAATAGCTGATAACTCATAAATAACATAACATAAATAACATGATAACTCATAAGTAACATGTGTTGAACTCACAAATATCATCGACAAATAGATTTTGTGAGTGCTGACTCGAGCCGCAGTCGCTGCTCGGTAATGGAAGTTCTTATATAAATGAGTTCACACCTCAGGAGCCGTCGACACACCTCAGGAGCCGTCGACACACCTCAGGAGCCGTCGACACACCTCAGGAGCCGTCGACACACCTCAGGAGCCGTCGACACACCTCAGGAGCCGTCGACACACCTCAGGAGCCGTCGACACACCTCAGGAGCCGTCGACACACCTCAGGACACACTCAGGAGCCGGAGCCGTCGACACACCTCAGGAGCCGTCGACACACCTCAGGAGCCGTCGACACACCTCAGGAGCCGTCGACACACCTCAGGAGCCGTCGACACACCTCAGGAGCCGTCGACACACCTCAGGAGCCGTCGACACACCTCGGGAGCCGTCGACACACCTCAGGAGCCGTCGACACACCTCGGGAGCCGTCGACACACCTCAGGAGCCGTCGACACACCTCAGGAGCCGTCGACACACCTCGGGAGCCGTCGACACACCTCGGGAGCCGTCGACACACCTCAGGAGCCGTCGACACACCTCAGGAGCCGTCGACACACCTCAGGAGCCGTCGACACACCTCAGGAGCCGTTGACACACCTCAGGAGCCGTCGACACACCTCAGGAGCCGTCGACACACCTCGGGAGCCGTCGACACACCTCAGGAGCCGTCGACACACCTCAGGAGCCGTCGACACACCTCGGGAGCCGTCGACACACCTCGGGAGCCGTCGACACGCCTCGGGAGCCGTCGACACGCCTCGGGAGCCGTCGACACACCTCGGGAGCCGTCGACACACCTCAGGAGCCGTCGACACACCTCGGAAGCCGTCGACACACCTCGGGAGCCGTCGACACACCTCAGGAGCCGTCGACACACCTCGGGAACCGTCGACACACCTCAGGAGCCGTCGACACACCTCGGGAGCCGTCGACACACCTCGGGAGCCGTCGACACACCTCAGGAGCCGTCGACACACCTCGGAAGCCGTCGACACACCTCGGGAGCCGTCGACACGCCTCGGGAGCCGTCGACACACCTCGGGAGCCGTCGACACACCTCGGGAACCGTCGACACACCTCAGGAGCCGTCGACACACCTCGGAAGCCGTCGACACACCTCAGGAGCCGTCGACACACCTCGGGAGCCGTCGACACACCTCGGGAGCCGTCGACACACCTCGGGAGCCGCCGACACACCTCGGGAGCCGTCGACACACCTCGGGAGCCGTCGACACGCCTCGGGAGCCGTCGACACACCTCGGGAGCCGTCGACACACCTCGGGAACCGTCGACACACCTCAGGAGCCGTCGACACACCTCGAAAGCCGTCGACACACCTCAGGAGCCGTCGACACACCTCGGAAGCCGTCGACACACCTCAGGAGCCGTCGACACACCTCGGGAGCCGTCGACACACCTCGGGAGCCGTCGACACACCTCGGGAGCCGTCGACACACCTCGGGAGCCGTCGACACACCTCAGGAGCCGTCGACACACCTCGGGAGCCGTCGACACACCTCGGGAGCCGTCGACACACCTCGGGAGCCGTCGACACACCTCGGCTCTTGATTACTGACTCGTGTCCGGCTCTTCATTACTGACTCGTGTCCGGCTCTTCATTACTGACTCGTGTCCGGCTCTTCATTACTGACTCGTGTCCGGCTCTTCATTACTGACTCGTGTCCGGCTCATCATTACTGACTCGTGTCCGGCTCTTCATTACTGACTCGTGTCCGGCTCTTGTTTACTGACTCGTGTCCGGCTCTTCATTACTGACTCATGTCCGGCTCTTGATTACTGACTCGTGTTTGGCTCTTGATTACTGACTCGTGTCCGGCTCTTCATTACTGACTCGTGTCCGGCTCTTCATTACTGACTCGTGTCCGGCTCATCATCACTGACTCGTGTCCGGCTCATCATCACTGACTCGTGTCCGGCTCATCATCACTGACTCGTGTCCGGCTCTTCATTACAGACATGTATCTGGCTCCTGGTCACATAAAGTACATGTTTCAGTGTCCACATTAAAGATACTTGTGTCCTAATCACCTACATATTTCAGGATTATGATTAATGATATGATTGAGTCCACCTTCCCATGTCAGGCTGGTCATGCATGAAGAATACATTTTTAATCATGAATAAAATGCTAATCCTCTTGTTCCGACCAGGGTTTAAACCCTGGACAGGGAGCCGGGTTTAAACCCCAGGTGGGGTAGGCGGGAAGGTTTGTTCCTTTATTGTTCTTCTCTGAATAACCTGTAGTAGGTGTGGACTCTCCCAGGTACCTGTCAGTACTAGGTGAACACGGGCTACACTCCCAGGTACCTGTCAGTACTAGGTGAACACGGGCTACACTCCCAGGTACCTGTCAGTACTAGGCGAACACGGGCTACACTCCCAGGTACCTGTCAGTACTAGGTGAACACGGGCTACACTCCCAGGTACCTGTCAGTACTAGGCGAACACGGGCTACACTCCCAGGTACCTGTCAGTACTAGGCGAACACGGGCTACACTCCCAGGTACCTGTCAGTACTAGGTGAACACGGGCTACACTCCCAGGTACCTGTCAGTACTAGGCGAACACGGGCTACACTCCCAGGTACCTGTCAGTACTAGGTGAACACGGGCTACACTCACAGGCACCTGTCAGTACTAGGTGAACACGGGCTACACTCCCAGGTACCTGTCAGTACTAGGTGAACACGGGCTACACTCCCAGGTACCTGTCAGTACTAGGTGAACACGGCTACACTCCCAGGTACCTGTCAGTACTAGGTGAACACGGCTACACTCCCAGGTACCTGTCAGTACTAGGCGAACACGGGCTACACTCCCAGGCACCTGTCAGTACTAGGCGAACACGGGCTACACTCCCAGGTACCTGTCAGTACTAGGTGAACACGGCTACACTCCCAGGTACCTGTCAGTACTAGGTGAACACGGGCTACACTCCCAGGCACCTGTCAGTACTAGGTGAACACGGCTACACTCCCAGGTACCTGTCAGTACTAGGTGAACATGGGCTACACTCCCAGGTACCTGTCAGTACTAGGTGAACACGGCTACACTCCCAGGTACCTGTCAGTACTAGGCGAACACGGGCTACACTCCCAGGCACCTGTCAGTACTAGGTGAACATGGGCTACACTCCCAGGCACCTGTCAGTACTAGGCGAACACGGGCTACACTCCCAGGTACCTGTCAGTACTAGGTGAACACGGGCTACACTCCCAGGTACCTGTCAGTACTAGGTGAACACGGGCTACACTCCCAGGTACCTGTCAGTACTAGGTGAACACGGGCTACACTCCCAGGTACCTGTCAGTACTAGGTGAACACGGGCTACACTCCCAGGTACCTGTCAGTACTAGGTGAACACGGGCTACACTCCCAGGTACCTGTCAGTACTAGGTGAACACGGGCTACACTCCCAGGTACCTGTCAGTACTAGGTGAACACGGCTACACTCCCAGGTACCTGTCAGTACTAGGTGAACACGGGCTACACTCCCAGGTACCTGTCAGTACTAGGTGAACACGGGCTACACTCCCAGGTACCTGTCAGTACTAGGCGAACACGGGCTACACTCCCAGGTACCTGTCAGTACTAGGTGAACACGGGCTACACTCCCAGGCACCTGTCAGTACTAGGTGAACACGGGCTACACTCCCAGGTACCTGTCAGTACTAGGCGAACACGGGCTACACTCCCAGGTACCTGTCAGTACTAGGTGAACATGGGCTACACTCCCAGGTACCTGTCAGTACTAGGCGAACACGGGCTACACTCCCAGGTACCTGTCAGTACTAGGCGAACACGGGCTACACTCCCAGGCACCTGTCAGTACTAGGCGAACACGGGCTACACTCCCAGGTACCTGTCAGTACTAGGTGAACACGGGCTACACTCCCAGGTACCTGTCAGTACTAGGTGAACACGGGCTACACTCCCAGGTACCTGTCAGTACTAGGCGAACACGGGCTACACTCCCAGGCACCTGTCAGTACTAGGTGAACACGGGCTACACTCCCAGGCACCTGTCAGTACTAGGTGAACACGGGCTACACTCCCAGGCACCTGTCAGTACTAGGCGAACACGGGCTACACTCCCAGGTACCTGTCAGTACTAGGTGAACACGGGCTACACTCCCAGGCACCTGTCTGTACTAGGTGAACACGGGCTTGAGGTATATGTTCACCTGCCCCTCGTCCTCACCTGCATGGGAGTCGACCACGCTAACTACCGAACCATCTAAACTACCAGAAGGTCATTATCTCACCCTTCGTCTGGGCAGAAAAGTACCTATAGTAACTGTTTAGTGTAAAGTAGCAGTATGTAGTGATGGTGCGCAAGTAAACCACTTTTTCTACTATTATTGTTAGAGATTCAAGAGAAAACAGAACTAGCAACCCCCTAAGATAACGTGTATTAGGTCTAGGATTGTTAGGTTAGGTTAGGTAAGGTTAGGTTAGGTTAGAGCTTTTATTTATGTTGTTAAAAATGTTTAACACGTTTGTGCAGATTCAATAATACAAAAGTCAATTTTCTGGCGGTCCACCACTTCAATGTGGTACTTTCTAGTAAATAGTTACTAGAGGTACAATCATTACTATAGGTACTGGTTTCTATCTGAACTAGAACCATCTTTATTACCAAATATTATGTTAATAATGTGTCCATAAGATAAGTAATTTATCTCTTAAGTAACTTCCTTTGGCGATAATCACTGTTCTTATAAGTAACGTCTAAGGTAACCAAAATACTATTACTGCTTTAGCATTGTGAACAATTTCATTCTAGAAAGAACTGTGATACTGTATTTTTTCGTGGGATAGGAACACTAGAGTACAGAGATTTCTTTCTTTAAGATGTTTTGCAGAAGATTTTGTCGAACATCTCCCAGTTATCTTAAGGTTCATTACACATCAACTCGTGTAGCGTCTTCATATGTTAAACTTCCATCACAGAGTAAATCACCTGTAATATTACACTCGTATGATTCATTATACATCATACTACCATTATATGACTCATTATACATCATACTACCATTATATGACTCATTATACATCACACACTACAATCATATGATTCATTATACATCACACTACCATCATATGATGCGTTGCACGTGCCACTACAATCGTAGTATTCATCGTATGCCGCAGTTCAATCGTACAATTCATTATATTACAACTAGTATTATCAATTTAGTAGATCAAGACAACTTAACTAAAAATTAGAAATCCATCTCCCAATCTTAAAAGGAGAGGAAGTGATGTTCTTGACCATTATCAAGACGTGATGAGATGTGGGGGATGAGTGCCTAACATAGCTTGATTCATCGCACTCACCTCACAAGATTCATCACACGTCAAACAACCATCAGACGATTTATGGTACGACACTACATCGGACAATTCATCCTATTGATGATTCTTCGTCTACATATTGATGACAGCTTATCCATCCAATGATGGATAAGTCGGACAGGTGGTGGTCCGTCACCCACAGACAGGTGGTGGCCCCTCACCCACAGACAGGTGGTGGTCCCTTCACTCACAGACAGGTGGTCGGCCCCTCACCCATAGACAGGTGGTGGGCCTCACCCACAGACAGGTGGTGGCCCCCTCACCCACAGACAGGTGATGGTCCCTCACACACAGACAGGTGGTGGGGCCTGACCCACAGACAGGTGGTGGTCCCTCACACACAGACAGGTGGTGGGGCCTCACCCACAGACAGGTGGTGGGGCCTCACCTACAGACAGGTGGTGGTCCCTCACACACAGACAGGTGGTGGTCCCTTCACTCACAGACAGGTGGTCGGCCCCTCACCCATAGACAGGTGGTGGGCCTCACCCACAGACAGGTGGTGGCCCCCTCACCCACAGACAGGTGATGGTCCCTCACCCACAGACAGGTGATGGTCCCTCACCCACAGACAGACCAGAACATCTTGGTCAAATAAAAAGACAGACGGTAAAATACTCTGCGTTTAGTACCTCTTGTAAAATCCATTTTTATTCATTGCCTGAAGGACAAGAATATTAATTAGGAAAATGCATTATATATTTATGTGAATAAACGAAATGTTAATTTAATTAATTTAACTTGTGTTTAGCCAAATTTCCCTCAATTTTAACTCTGATTTCCAAGAACCTGATTTTCGAGTTGAAAATTTCACGTGATTCTACCAAGTAATTTTCATATATTAATATTCCCCTTGTCTAATTTAAGCCGTTTTTATAAGTAATTTATTCTGTCCTCTTCATTATTTCGGATAGACGTTCTTGGTATTCTCTGGCTCGTAATTGGTCCTTCTAAGCAGTCAATTAGCTCAATTACCCAGGTCATTAAGAAAAGGTGGAGGCGGTGTGAAGGTTCCTTTGGATAAACCTGGATATAATACAGGTACTGTATTACTGGTGACTGGTAGTAGCTGTATTATACAGGTACTGTAGTACTGGTGGCTGGTAGTAGCTGTATTATACAGGTACTGTAGTACTGGTGACTGGTAGTAGCAGTATTATACAGGTACTGTAGTACTGGTGACTGGTAGTA